ATGACTATGACTATGCCTGTGATTCATAGTTGAGTGAGGTTAGGTTGATGACTATGACTATGGTTGAAATAATAAAAATTTTTATTATAATTTTAAAACTAATTCTGTCTAACACTAATATAAAATGATCGTTTTTTTCAATACATGTAATAAAAGTCGACAATTTGATTCCTTTAACAAAAAATAGTTAAATTCCACTTCTTCATTTCTTTCCTATCCTCATCATTATTTGAAATTCTTTCGTCTGTTGTAATCTAAATAATAGTGGGTCGACACAACAACAACAATATCTATGCCAATGTTGTTGTTTTGAATATATTTTGAATAAATGCCAACAATATTCTTCTTATAATCAAGTATAGACAAATTTTTTATTGAGAACATAATCCCAGATTCACATAATGATTGGAAAATTGCTAACAACAATGCTTGAAATTCAACACTAAATCTGTCAATTCAATTCAATCAATCAAATTCAATCAAGTTAATCGATCACATTGTGATTTGATCTGATCGAATTCAAATTCAGGACATTTCCCTGATCATCCGAATCTGGTTTAGATTTTCGAATTTCAAAGAAAATAAGGTGCCAACAAAACAAAAACTAAAAACTAAACCAAACTGTGAACAAGAGAAAAGCACAGAATTGTTGTTTGGATGATCTCTTTTATTTCTCGTTTATTCGTCGACATTGGTAGAATCTCTATAAATATAAAAATGTGGAATAGGGCATACAACAAAACAACAACAACAAGTTGATGATAAAATAAAAATTGTAAAGATGGTAATAATCTTTTCTCGATTGTTGGCGACATATAAACACACTAAACACTATATTTCAATCATCATCATCAACACTGACAGCTAGCAATTTTTCGTTTTGAAAGGAATTGCTATTTCACCATCGACGTAACCATCATCATATGTATGACCGACAAACAAAATTCATTCGATAATTCCGTAGTTTTTGTTGTGACTATTATCATAATTTTATACTTAAGGTTGACATGGATTTTTCTCGTTTCACCGCTAATGTGTGTGTGTGGGTGATGATGATGATAAATGAATGAATGAATGATGCTAAGATTCTGTTTTTTTAAGAAAAAGGAAATCCTTCATTTTCAAGATTTGATGCAGTGAACGACGACCACGAGAATTCTTTCGATATATTCTTCTCGTTGTGTGTGTGTGTGTGTGCTGTGAGATAATATTTGTTCTTCTCTTCAGTCATCGAAGAAAATCATCATCTGGGTTTTTGATTAGTGTGTGTGTGAAAACTATTGGACATGACAAATCAATAATGATATATGGGTGAATATTGTTGAACAACAACAACAAACAAACAAAATGTCTTATCGGTCATATAAGGCATCTGCATCATCATCATCATATCGTTATAGTAGTGGTAATGAGGGACTTGGAACAAGTTCAACATCATCATCTAGATTTCGAACATCATTAACATCATCCAGTGTCGGTGGTGATGATGATTTTGGAACATATTCAACACGTCGAATATCATCATCCACCAATTATGAACCATCATCATCACTATCAATACGTCAATTAGATGACGATATTGGTACATCATCATCGAGACGATCATACCAATCATCAAGACTGATCAGTAAGGATTATGATGATCCATCAATATCATCAACAAGTCGTTATTCATCCAATAAATATAAAATAACCAGCATCGATGATGATGATGATGATGATCTGAGTAGCCGCATGACTAGCCGTAAATATTCACGCTATAGTAGCCGTGATGAGGCGGAAGGTCTTCAATCGGCTACCACCAGTCGTATATCCCGATATTCTAGTTTAGAACAAACCGGTGGTGATGATGATTATGGGTTATCATCATCGACAACAACAAGACGTCGAACAAAACTTAGCTACCTTGATGATGATGATGATCACGATGATCTTGATGATTATAAAAGCTCAACCACAAGAAAATCATTTCGACCGTCATTAAGTTATGATATTCGAACACCATCGACCGATGATATCGATTATAATCGATTGTCATCATATTCCGATAGACGACGTAGTGCTGCTACCACTACTACCGGTACTATGAATCGCTCATTATCCAGAATGGATTCGAAAGAGGTTAGTTTTGAATTGTTTTGTTTGCTTCAAACTTCAATTGTTTTCCAAATTTATCATTTTGTAATTTATCATCCATCAATCATTGTTCTCATTTATTTCGGGTAATCGTCTGGCTAATAATAATATCTGAAGATGTTGTTGTTTGTGGATAAAAAAAGAGTTAAATTGTAAAGCATAAAGCTTAAATGAGAACATTCATTCATGTCGTCGTGGTTGTTGCCAGATAGAACCGAATTTAGACATCATTTTTATCGTTGATGATGTCGTCGACAACTGTTCGACATCATCATCATCATACGTCAGCACTAATAGCTGTTGTAGTTGATAATGATTACGTACTTGGTGAATAATTCTATCAATGTAACATTTCCGTTATTCGAACATATTTTTTGGTCATTTTTGAAACATAATATCTTATTCTCGAGAATATTATATGATTATTGAAAGTTTTTTGTTTTTGTGGGGAAAACATTGAATAACAAGATGTATATTTAGCTAACAACAACCCAACTATGTTATTCTTTCTTTAAAAATGATGATGATGATTGCCTTGTTATTTATTTTTGTTAATACTTAATATGAACAAGAATATTCAAGTTTAAAAAAAGAAAAAAATGTTAATAATTTTTGTTCTTTTGACTGGATAACCATGGAAATATCATCATCATTATTATGGCTAATTATAGACACACACCGTTCATATTTAAAAAAATTAAGCAAGAAATGCAAACATTCTTGGCGAATATTTTGTTAGCATTATTATAATGTTTTGTTATATTTACAAATTATCCATACCGAATATTCATCATCATCACATATTTTGAAAGGAAGAAAATATTGTTGATTATTATGATGGGAATCTTTTCTTGTTGATCTGGATTCTTGATTGTTGATCGTGACAGATTTAACTCGACAAAACCAACATACGAACCGAATCAACCCTGAACAATGATGATGATGAACAAAAGCAACCATTATGTCGTTGTTGTTGTGGTTGCATCAAAACACACTACGTCATTTGTTACTTTGAATTGCGATCAATTTTTTGTTGATTGTTTTCTTAAACGGTGTGAATGAAAATTTTTGATAAAATTCTAGTGTTGTCGGTGTGTAACCAAGTGTGTCCAAATAGGATTCGATTTCAGCATCCTCCTTTTACGTAATTTTCGACAACAATGGTCAATCAAAAGCAACAACAGCAACATTATTCATTGAAAAATAATGATGGCCATGATAAAATAGAAACATCACCATCAACAATGATCATGAAAAAGAAATCAAAAAAACATCCACGAAAACAACCATCAATTGAGCAACGAAAATTGATACGTCAAATATCAAATAATCAGGGTGGATTGAAGCGTTGTTCGTCAGATCTGCTATTGGAGAAAATTAAACATTATGAAATTATTGATGAAAAAACAGCAAGAAAAAATTCGTTGACACAATACCTTGATCAATCAAATGGTGATCCAAGTGAAAAACAACGAAGATCATCATCATTATGTCGTGTGACTGGATCCAGTTTCAGTATGGATGAACCACATTATTTTCCATTGAAAAATGATTTTCCTCGATTTGATCAATTGAAAAGTTGTCAGATAACAATGAAACATAATGTTCTGGGTGATAAATTCCATTTTCCCGTTTTCAATGCAACCAGTCAACCAACTGGTCGTGAAAATCCTCAAATTACCTATGGTTTGGTGCCATTATCATCATCATATTCCAGATCATGTCATAAATCGGATGATCAAGAAAATCCAACCAAATTATTACGTAAAAAGTTTAAGGATAAAAAATTGAAAAAATCATCAACAACATCATCATCAACCGATGATGATTCGAATGAAGAAACAAAACAACAGCGAATAACGACAAAAATCGTTGTCGATGAAAACAATAATCCGATTGATAATGAGAATAATGTATTTTTTGTTGAAATAGTTTCAAATTGTTCCATGGGTTAAAATAAGCCAATTTTATAATTTTCAACTTTTTTTCTTTCTTCCTTTGTTTTGTTATTTAGGCTCAAATATATGAAGTAATATTGGATTATAAACCACCCCGTAGTGCAACCGACGAAATCTGTTTAAAAGAAGGACAAAATGTTATTGTCCTAAGCAAGGATAAGCCACACAAGTAAGTTATTTTCAATTTCAACTTGTTCGATGTTTTCAATTGATTCACCATCATAGATGGAAAGTGAGAACAAGAAAAAGTGAAAAATTTCCCAAAATTGAGGAAGGTTTTGCACCATCAGCCTATTTGAAACCAACAGCCGAAAAGCTTGATCAAAATGAACAAGCTGCATTACAGTTGCAACAACAAACATCAATAACCGAGTCGGAAAAAGCTTCGACAAAATCCTCTGATCAAACAAATAAAGATTTAAATAAGAAAAAAGAGTAAGTTTTTTGATTGATTTTTTCCGAATCGATTAATTTGTCGCATTTTTTCAGCATGATTGTCCGCGAACTAATCGAAACTGAAGAAGATCTAATCCGTGATATGCAATTTGTTGTGCGGACCTATATACGACAATCAGATTCATCAATAACACCGAAAGAAATCCGTTCGGTTAAAGATCAAATATTTGATTGTTATAAAGAAATATTGGAATTTCATAAGGATATTTTGCTGAAAAATTTTCAAACATTATCGAAGGAACCGGGTAAAATCGGAAAATTGTTCATTCGAATGCAACCAAATTTTTCGAATCATTCAAAATATTGTCGAAATCTACCAAAAGCCTTGGAAATATTGGATGAGAATTCGGATGTTGCTGAATATTTTAATGTATGTTTTATTTGTTTATGCTCAAACGATTTTAATGTTTGCCTTTCTTTTGCTAATTGTTTATCCATTCCAATATTAACCAAAATTCAGAATTATTCAGTCAAGATAAGGGATGAAAAGCCTTTGTCTGATCGCTTAAAAGTAAGTCGACATTCGATGTCGATAAAAATTTGTTGCCTTTTGCTAATCAATTATTTCATTATTTTCTTCGACTCCCAAATTGACATTTTTTTCCGAATCAAAAATAGCTACCATTACAACGTTTGAATGATTATCAGCTATTATTAAAGGTAAGTTCCCCAATTATCTCATGCCCTTGACTCATGAATGTTGTTGTTTTGCATCCATATAGGAATTATCGAAAAATTTATCGCGTTTAGATGAAGATGTTGGCGATTTGGAAAAAGCAATCAAATTGATTGCAGCAATACCAGATGCTGATATTGATGATGAAGACAATGATGATTCGAAAAAACCAATCGACACAACAACATTGGATAAAAACATTAATGATTTCAATCTACCAACTGGTTCATCAGAAAAATTATCCAATCTTTTGAAAAATGTTTTACAGGCCAAAGTAAGCAAAATGAACATTTTAATTTTGATTTTTGATTCAATTTCTTTTTCTCTTTGTTAGGACTTTTTCGATGTAATCGATACCGATGGTAACGTACGTGAACGATTTATTTTCTTTTTCAAATCGCGTATGTTTATAACCGAAATCAATAAAAATCTATCAGCCGATCAACGAACATATAATGTTGAAAAAATTATCAAGGTATTTTCCTTTTTTTGAAAATCGATTTTTTAAATAATTTTGAATTAGTTACCACAAGTGGATATCAGTGATGAAGATGCCAACACATTGATAATCAAATCAAAAGATACGACCGATACGAATTTCCCGATACGATTACGATGTCAAGATCAGGAACGAATAAAATCCTGGTTAAAAATGATTAATTCTTTACCAAGTGAGTTATAATTTCAGTCAACATTCTATTTCCCAACTAAACTTTGATCAATCAACAACAAATCTAGAAAACGAAGAAGAATGTTTGGATGATCAATTGAAATTGCCTTTCCTCACTCAATCGACGAAACAGGAACCATTGCTCAAATCAACCAATTCCATTGATGAAAATAATAATAAAATTCTTGAAGAAAAACTTAAAGAAATGGAAACCGAACCAGAAAAACGTCAGGCACCACCGGTACAAGAAGTGAATGAAGAGCCAATTCAGGCCAAAATAATGAAACCTGTTACAGCCGTAGAAAAAATAGATTCAACATCGATAGATAATCAACCCAAGCAATATGCTATTGTTCGTGATTTACAATCCTTCACCAAACAATTGGGTGACCATGCTTTGTTTGAATGTCAAGTTACACCTGGTACCATCAATGTCCAATGGCTGAAAGATAATGCAATTCTATCGGGAACAAATTATCGTACCTATAAAAAAGGTGATAATTATTATCTTGAACTGAATAACCTGACCGTTGATGATAATGGCATCTATACATTTGTTGCATCCGATTCAAAAACATCGGTTGCATCAAGTTCTACGCTGAATGTTTTGGCGGGTGATTCTCGGCCAACCAGTCCAGGTGGTTCATTTCTACCACATCCACCAAAATTTAAAGTTAAACTCAAAGATACAGATCTTTTGGAAGGTGCAAGTTGTGTACGCTTTGAACTGATCGTACGCGGACTACCAATACCAATGGTGGAAATTTTCAAAGATAATCGAAGACTCGAAAGCAATGATCGGGTACAAATTCTATTTCAATCAAAAGAAGTATTTGAAATTGTTTTGAAAAATGTTTGTCAGAAGGATGCCGGCCTGTATCGTTGTGTTGCAACCAATCCGGAAGGTCAAGCCGAAACTTCGGGCCGAATAACCGTTACCAAAAATAAAGATGTTTTTTTCGGTTTAGATGAATCATTACCACCGATTCCGATACAACGAGATCCGCATAGTCCACGTTGTATGTCACCAGCATTTAAATGGTTTAAAGATGGTAGAGAATTTGAAGCAAGTGAACGTTTCCAGGTACAATTCGATGATCAAGAAGATACGGTGGCATTGATATTTCAACATGTCACACCGGATGATGCTGGCCTTTATACATGTGTTGCATCAACTAGTAGTGGCAAAATATCTTGTCATGCTGAATTGAATGTACAAGGCGGTGTTCAGCATTTACCCAAACCACCCATAGCACCAAAATTTCTGAAAGAATTATCCAATATTCAAGTTTGTAAAGGACAAAATATCGCTCTACTTGAAGCACAGGTAATCGGATTTCCAAAACCATCGATTTCATGGTATAAAGATGATAAAAAGATTGAATCAAATGATAATAATGATCATTACAAAATGATGACTGAAGGTGATGCTAATGTTACATTGATGATCAAAAATGTTGATTCCAATGATATTGGCCATTATCGTATTGAAGCTGAAAATCAATTAGGATTGGTGGAATCATCAGCACGATTAGATGTGGTCAAAAAACCAGAATTCACAAAAGCATTGGATCAAATTGTTGTCGATGATAATCAACAATTGATCATTGAACAAAGTTATGATTGTCAACCTGAACCGACTCGTATTCAATGGCAAAAAGATGGCCAAGATTTAGCACAATCAAAACGAATTCAAAGTTCAATCGATGCTGATCGACAAATTGTTCGATTAGTCATTGATAAAGTAACTTCGGAAGATGCTGGCACTTATCAATGTATGATTGCCAATACTATTGGGTCAGCTAAACAAAATACACAGGTTTTGATAAAATCATCGGCACCAAAATTTTTGAGGAAATTCGAAGCTGTCCAAGTGAAAGAACATGAAAAAGCTATTTTTACTGCACAATATGATTCGACAGCCACTGATGTTCATATAGAATTCTATAAAAACGATCAACTTATTCGATTGGATGAACGAATCAAATTGGAAAAAGAGAAAGATGGTCGATTTTCGTTGATCATCAATGATACATCCAAAGATGATGAAGGCCGATATAAATGCAAAATTAAAAATAATCAGGGTTCAGATGAAGCTGATGCAAATCTAATTGTTATCAAAAAAGATTCTGTACCGGAATTTAAAGAAAAACTACAGGATTTACAAGCTCAGCTCAATGATGAAAATGTACAGCTTGCGGTGAAAGTTGATGGTCAACCACCACCATCAGTGCAATGGTTCCATGATGGAAAACCAATCAATCAATCGGATAAGGATTTACCATTCAAAATTGTTGATAAAGATAATTGCTCAACATTGATTATACCGAAAGTTTTGGCCGAACATTCGGGCCAATATTTATGTCGTTCGTCAAATTCACAAGGTCAAGCTGAAACAGCAGCCGAATTAATTGTTAAATCTGCACCTTATGTTGTTAAACACTTGGATAATGTTGATATTGGTGATTTGGGTCAAGAAGTGAAACTGACAGCCATTATTAAAGGAATACCAAAACCAGATATCGTATGGACTTGTAATGATACGAAAATTTTGGGCAAAAAAACTGAAGGATATGATGAAGCTAGTTGTGAATATTCATTAATTTTGCATAAAATTCAATCAGATGATTTGGGTGAATATTGTATTCGAGCCAAAAATCATCTTGGTGAATGTGAATCAAAATCACAAGTTCAATTGGCCACCAAACCATTGTTCAGTAAAGTATTGACAAATATTATGGCCAAACCGATGCAAAGTAATATTGAATTGGTCGTTGAATTGGATAAAAATACCGCTAAAAAACCATTGAAACTCAAATGGTTTAAAGATGATCAAGAAATCAAAGATTCGGACAAAAATTTCAAAAAAATTGATGATAAATTAGACAATTTATCACATAAATTGATCATTATGAAAGCAACCGAAGAAATGGTTGGCCATTATAAATGTGTTGCATCCAATGATTTTGGTGACACTGAAACAGCTGCCCGTTTTGATTTGATAATACCGCCAAGATTCATCAAAGGATTACATGATGTAGATATTGCGGAAGGTAACAATGTATCGATGACTATTCAATTGGCTGGATTTCCTCAACCAGAAATAAAATTCTATAAGGATGGTGAAGAAATTAGTACATCCGCTCATGTTAAAATACGTAAAGAAATGGATGATATTTATCAATTCGAAATTGAAAATATTCGTATCATAATGAGTGGGCAATATGAATGTCGAATCAAAAACGAAGCTGGTGAAGCATCATCCAGTGGTGTTATTACTGTTAATTCTAGGCCACAATTTTTGAAAAATCTTACCGATCAAATTATCGATGTTGGCGATAATATTCAATTGGAAGTAACCGTAACTGGACAGCCATCACCACAAATCAAATGGTTCATCAACGGCAAAGAAGCTAAGGGTGATGAGCGAATTTTATTCGATTCTCGTGAAGAATCTTATAGCATGAAAATACCTAATGCAAAAGAATCGGATACTGGTGAATATTATTGCATAGCCAACAATCAAATTGGTGAACAAAAATCCGACAAAGCTGATGTTAAAGTTATCAATAAAAATTCTGAACCAAAAATTTCGAAACCGATTAAAGATTCAGCCATTGTCATTGACGATAATGTTCGATTTGAAACAGTTATTTCCGGCACGCCAAAACCAGAAATAATTTGGACAAAAGATTCTGTTGCATTGAAACCAAGCGATCGAATTCTAATCAAAAGTGATGGTGATACGCATACATTGATAATGAAAAATTGCAAACAACAAGATTCCGGTCAAATTGGTTGTCAGGCTAAAAACGCAGCAGGTTCAGTAACGCAGACAGCACAACTTGAAGTTGAAGGTAAGTTTATTTTTGATTTTTTAGAAAACTTTGATTATTTTTTTGAATGAATATTGTTTTCTGTTACCTGGATGGAAATTTCACATCAACGACTGATGAAAAACTTGATTCAATTTATATCCCTGTTGAATAGAACCAACAATACCTACTATTGAAGGTTTGGATGATAAACGTATTGTTGTTGATGGGGAGCCAGTACGATTTGAAGCGAACATTTCAGGTTTTCCCAAGCCAATTGTTGAATGGTTTCATGTTGATGATGATCAATTACAACCGATTATTTGGGATACAGATAATAATCAATTAGCTGTTGTCTGTGAACCAAAACAAAACAAATATGGTTTGGTATTTGAATCATTTCCATCGAAAATGTTTGGTGAATTTGTTTGTCGTGCAACAAACAATGCCGGAGCGGTTGAGAAAAGATTTTCGGTTGAAATTGGTGGGAAAAAACCCACATTCATCAAAGAATTGGATGAAACGCAAATTGTCATGTCGGTAGATAAACAAAATAATCGAATGAAATTGGGACAAAGTGCTATATTCGAAACAATTGTCGATGGCATCCCCACACCTTCGGTTGAATGGCTTAAAAATGATGAGCCATTGCGAGCAAATCCACGTGTATTGATCGAATCAAATGATAATGGGGAACATAAGCTGGAAGTCAAAACCATTACCAAAGATGATGTTGCGAAATATACCTGCAAAGCAGTGAATAAATTTGGTGAAGCACAAACAGTTTGTTTGCTGAAATTTCTGAATGAACCACATGAACCAATCATTAAAAAGCCACTGGAAGACGTTCAAATTGAAGAAGGGGATGATTTGAAATTATTCTGTAAAGTTGACGGTGAACCAATGCCGGCTGTCCGATGGATTAAAGATGAACAACCATTGGAAAAAAGTCGGGACGACCGATTGACATTATCATCCAATAAGGATGGTAGTGCACAATTAGTGATCGAAAATGTACAAAAATCTGATTCAGGCAAGTTTATTGTCGAAGCTGAAAATGCAAAAGGTATTGCCCGAACAGAATCCAAAGTCGAGGTTGTTGATCCACAACGTCCACCATCATTCCCGGAACCTTTGAAAGAATTGATCCAAGTGGAAACAAATAAACCATTGATTTTAGAAGCAAAAGTTTTTGGATTACCACCGCCCAAAATACAATGGTTAAAAGACGGAAAACCAATTTCGGATAAAAGTCCACGAATACAGATGATCCAATCAGAGGGTAATGATGGTAAATGCCAATTGAAAATTGATCATATTAAACCCGAAGATGCTGGTGTTTACTCATTGAAAGCCGTCAATGCTAATGGCGAAATGATGACCAAAGCTAAAGTGGAAGTAACACCTCAACCATATGCACCAAGAATCATTGAAGATTTACCCGTGAAATTGCAAATCAAATTGGGTGAACCAATCAAACTTGAATCGAAAATTCAATCATATCCATTGGCTAAATTAACATGGATGAAAGATTCAATACCATTATCATCATCGGATGAACGAATCAAAATCAATGATCAATTAGGTTGTTTGGCTATCGACTCGGCTAAACCCGAGGATCAAGGAACCTATACATTGATAGCAGCTAATCCAATTGGAGAAATATCTTGTAAAACTCAAATTGAAATATTGCAACCGGTTACGGAAGAACCAACAATCGTTAAAGACAAAAAAGATGTTGAACAACTCAAAAAACCTGGACCACAAGAAATGATCATCGCAGAAACAATGCCAAATCAACAGAATGTCGCTCAAGGTGATGATATTCGATTATCGATGAAATTGTCCGCCGCAAATGATTTACCATCACCGAAAATTACAGCGGAAAATGTTCACATTTATAAAGATAATGTTCCGTTACAGAAGAGTGATGTTGAGGACAATTTGAAAATTATGGATTCGGGCGAAATACAATTCACCAGACCGAAATGTTTGGCAGAAGATAGTGGACTATATCGAATTGATATTGAAATACCTGTTGATCAACAGCAACGACAAAATCTAAGCAATTCTTGTTTGGTCAATGTTATTTCTGGTATGTATTCTCTTCGATGGCCTGATTCTGCAGAATCATTCACATTGATTGATTCTTTGCTGATCAGCTTGCTTTTAATGCAAACAACCATTCAATAATGAAAAGTATTGATGCTGCAGCATTTCTATGAATTTTGCCAAAAAAACGAAAATGCTGCCTTGAATTTTTTTCTCATAAATTTTTGTTTGTTTTCTGTGTTTGTACGAAAATCTTATTATTTTCATTTTTTTTTCATTGTGTAGATAAAGACCAAGCCGATAAAGCTAAAGATGATGACAAATCAAAATATCCACTCAAATTCGAACAAGAATTATCATCGGTACAAGTTGAATCCGGACAACCATGTCGTTTGCAATGTTCTATTGATTTAGCTGATGGTTTAATCAATGTTAATGATTTGACGATTGGTTGGTTCAAAGATGGCGAACAATTGGTGCCGGGTGAACATCACGGTTTTGTAAAAGAATCAAGCACCGGTCATATTGCTTTACTGATCGATTCATTTGCAAGCAAAGATGTTGGGGAATATCAGGTGAAAATCACTGATAAAAATGGTTCGACAATTTTCAGTTCTGCCAAAGCTTCACTTAAAGCCACTCAAGCTAAAACGAAACCCGAAATTATTGACGGTCTATCGAATGCTGAAATCGAGGAAGGTAGCCAATTATGTTTGAAATGTCATATGGCACCTATTCCATCCGATATGCCTATTCAAACAAAATGGTTCGCCAATGGAAAACAACTGCAAGAATCGGATTCAATAAAATTTCTCAATTTTCCTGATGGAACAATCATGCTGCAGATCAATAAAATCGGATCATCCGATTCGGGTCAATATAAAGTGATCATATCGAATCAGAATGGCGATGCAACAAGTGAAGCAAAAGTTTCTGTTTTGAAACCAAAACCAACAGCCACAAAACCTACGATACGTAAAGGTTTAGAATCGACAACATTGATAGCTGGTGAAACGGGTGTCATTGAATTTCAAGTGGAATGTGGTGGTGCAACTGATATCGATAGTGGTGATATCAAATTTTTGCTTGGATCACAATTGATTACACCGGATGACCGTATCCATATACAACGTTTACCTGATGGTATTATTCGACTTAAATTCGATAAAGTTAAATTAGCTGATCAAGGCCAATATACGGCTATATTCAAAAACGATGCGGGTTCAATTGAAACTGGCTGTCCGGTGATTGTCAAATCGAAACCCGTGATCATCAGTCCATTGGAAGATATGGCTGTAAAAGAAAAATGTTCAATCAAATTTGAAGTGAAAATTGAAGCCAATCCTGATCCGGATGTTGTTTGGATGCGTAATGGATCGAAAATTCAAATCGATGGTAAACATTATCTGGCTGGTGGCAAAACAAGCGACAATATTTATACATTGACTATCAATGATTGTATCCACCGCGATAAAGCTGAATATAGTGTTAAAGCAACCAATGAACTTGGTACGGCTACATCTAAAGCTCATCTGGATGTTCTTTATGCAAGTGAATTTGAAGAATGTCCACCTGCATTCACTGAACAATTGCATGATATAAGTGCGGGTAAAGGTGATACTGTGCAGCTTATGGCTAAAGTTAAAGCACATCCAGTTCCCAAAATCGTATGGAAAAAAGATGGACAAGAATTGCCGTTATCATCGGATAAAGTATTCGCTTCGTTCAATGGTGAAGATTTGGAATTGACAATAATGAATTTCGATAAATCAGATGTTGGTATCTATGAAGTTTGTGTGGGCAATTCATTGGGTCAGGCTAGTTCGACGGCTCGTGTTGTTGAACATTCGATGACCAAACCGCAGTTTGTTCGAAAATTATCCGATATTGAAGCCAGATTAGGCTCGGAAACCAAACTAACATGCCGTGTTGAAGGGTATCCAAAAGCTGATATCGAATGGACATTTAATGGCCGTCCCATTGAATCAGGTTCAAAATATTCAATTCAACGAGATGATCGTAATGGCGAACAAACACTGATCATATTTGAACCATGTTTAGCTGATTCTGGTATCTATCAGTGTACAGCTACCAATCAAATTGGATCCGATCAAACATCATCCAATGTTTTATTTGGGTAAATATTTTGTGGTTGCTGCTTATTATCATTATTTCATCAATTTTTCATTAATTTTTTATCAATTTCGAATTGACCAGTGAAAAATCCGGTGAAGCTGCACATTTCATCACTAAACTGCAAGACTGTGATTGTTTGGCAGGATCGACAGCTCGTTTTACGGCTTGTGTTGTCGGCAATCCGATGCCCGAATTCAAATGGTAAAATGTATTTTATATTTGTCATCAAAATTTATCAAATTTTTGCCCAAATCCGATCTAAAGGTTCAAAGATGATAAAGAAATTGAAATTGATGGTCGAAAATATTCCTTCGAATCGAATCCAAATGGAATGATAACATTCGAAATTCACAATATCGATGATAAAGATATTGGCCGATATCGATGCATGGCTAGCAATAAATTTGGTTGCGATAATTCGGTTGGACAGTTGAATTTTGAGAGTAAGGATATGAATTGTGCATTTGTTGATGATGATGAGCAGTCAGTAACAACTAATAATAATAATGGCATATTAATGCTTAATCATAATCTATTTCGACAATCAATACATTTACTAGGACAAATATTTCAAAATAGTTCTCCGATTGTTCCGGCTATTATGTTAGGCTCGATCATTCTAACAAATTATCTGCTATTATTTTCAATCAATCATACTGATGCACCTATTCTATCCAGTCAAGACCAACACACAACAGTGGATGACTGTTCAGGCAGTACTATTAGCGATGAAATAGATCCAATATTGAAAAATTTACAAGAATATATTTTCAGATGTTCGAATAATAAATGAATGATAGTGCTATATTGATTTGTTGTTGTTGTTATGATTATCATATAGTGTATATTTGTTGTATGTTACTGTCAATGTTAAAAATAGCTTGAAATAAACCATTGTTTCATTAGTAATTAATTCTTTTTGCACCATATTTTTATATTTACATTAACATTGCATAACATAATCATTGTAGCGAATGTTGTTGATGATCAAATAGATCGAATGAAGCCTGCACATAAATCCATGAAAAGTGTACAACGAATCAAGGATGCTGGTTCGGATGAATTGTCATTTGGATTATCGGGACAACCAAAACCATTATCGGATGCTCCAATAATAACGAAAATGATTGATAATAGTTTGACATTGTTATGGTTTCCATCCATACCTGAACAGCCTAGATTTCCTGTATCATATGTAGTGGAATTTGCCAAAATATCCGACGGTATTTGGACTGTTTGTCATGGCAGTGAGTTATCACTTTTCATTATGATTATTTTAAATTTATGCAACAAAAACAATAACATTGATTTATTGATACAGATATTAAGGATTGTAAGTGTGATGTTGTTGGTCTTGAATCTTTTGAAGATTATGGTTTTCGTGTTCGGGTTGAAAACAAATTCGGTTTAAGCGATCCATCACCTACGGTAACAGCATTTCGATCACAGTTAAAAGATCATGATGCACATGAACATGCCATGAAAGCGACAAAGAAACCGGATGATTATTATCTGCAGCATCGACCACCAGAAAAAGTTGCTGCTGCACCGACGTTTGTTCGTGATGAGCATGAATCAATGTTCGGCGTGATTGGACAACCAGTCACCATTGAATTCTGGGTCTATGGATATCCTGAGCCGGAGATAACCTGGTTTTTCGGTGATCATAAGGTAATTTTTGTTATTTTTTTAGGTTTAAAAAAATTAAACATTAATCATTTGGATGATGAAATCAAAGATTGATAGCAATGATCAACGATTTAGCTTCATGAAAGATCGAAATGGTAAAACATGTTTGTTCATTAATCGAATGACCGATTCCGATGAAGGATATTATACATGCTTGGCTAAAAATGAACACGGCGAACAAAAGAAAACCATTAAAGTTATCAAAGCAGGTAAAGCGATACATACTTTAGTTTGAAATTCATTTTTAACTTTTTGTTTGTTGAAAAAGATGCACCAAAATTTACAAAACTATTGGATGAAACTGAAGGGTTGGCACGAAATCATATTCGTCTTTCATGTTCGGTGATAAGTTCACCACAAGCAACAATAAAATGGTTTAAAGATTATCAACCATTGCATGATACAAGTCGACTGAATATTATTGGTGATTCAGATAATCTGTCGCTTGTCATCAATGATGCGATGGTTCGGGACAGTGGTTTGTATTCATGCACAGCAACCAATCTGGCTGGATCGACAACAACTTCGGCTTATGTAACCGTACGTGATCAACCAATCAGTTATGATAAATATCCATTCAGCTATAAAGATCACATTAAACCGAAAAATAAACCAATGGAACAATTATATGATATTGGTGATGAATTAGGACGTGGCACACAAGGTATTACCTATCATACTGTTGAACGTTCAACCGGCAAAAGTTATGCAGCAAAAATGATGTATGGAACTGGTGAAACACGGCAATATATGAATTCAGAATTAGATATTATGAATCAATTGGGCTCACATGAATATCTTGTACAATTGCATGATTGTTTTGCAAGTACACCCTATTCCATGTCATTGATAACATCGATGAATGGTGGCGGAACATTGATGGATTTCGTTCTACGAAAAGGTCAGATCAACGAACAAGAAGTTGCTGAATATATTCGACAAATTCTGGAAGGACTACATTATATGCATTTCAAAAATATCGGCCATCTTGGACTTACTATTAATGATATTCTTATGCAACGAATCGATGGTCCAGATATAACGATATGTGATTTTGGTTTGGCACAACGTTTAACACCCGGTGCATCGGTTTATGTTGAATTCGGACAACCAGAATTTATATCACCAGAAATTGTGGATAAAAATTCCGTCACATTAACTACGGATGTTTGGTCAGCCGGTATTGTTGCACACATTTTATTGACCGGTATATCACCATTTTTAGGTGAAAATGATCGTTCAACAATGCATAATATTCTAAACAAAAATCTCGATTTATCTGATGATAAACTTGGTCATATTTCGGAACAAGGTCGCGATTTCCTTAGAAAAACATTGAATTTCAATCCGAATGAACGCTTGGATGTGAAAGCAGCATTGAATCATCCATGGATAAAATCGAATTTACATTCACAGCACAAATCTAATCTTGATATAATGGATAAATTACGTAATTATAAAAGTCAATCCGATAAATGGTATCAGAATGCATCATGTCGTCGTTATTACCGTCGTCGTCCATTACATTCATGTTATACACATCCAAGTCGAATGATTTATCCACCCGGTGAACAATATAGTCCGCTAGTATCACCTGAAAGAGAAATGAAAAGATTCCAACGAAACGTTGCACCATTCGATAATGTTTATCCGCCTAATCAAACATTCGGTGCGGAAAATTTTCAATCCGAAAGTCATTATCAATGTGGTCCAGATACTTATCTATTACAACTACGTGACACAGATTTCCCGGCCCGTATTCGTCGATATTTGAAAATTGCTGCTGCCAATAGTCCATCGATGGTATCGAATCTACAGCAAGCATATTGGAGTCGAACATCCAATGTACCATGTGGAACATTTTCGCAACCATCGATTAAAGAACGTCGAAAATTCACCGATATTATGGATGAAGAAATTAATGATGAAATTCGTGGTAAACCTGGCCGAAAACCAAGACGATTGGCACATGAAGTTGGAACACCATTATATTTACACGGCCAATTGAAAACATTGAAAAAAGAAGCCGGAATTGCGAAACAATCGATACAATCGATTGATGAATCAAATTTTGTGATGCCATTTTTTCGTGAAAAACTGCAAGATCAACCATTTCAGGATGAAGGCAGAGTCGTATTGGAATGTTTGGCTATTGGTGTGCCAACGCCAACATATACATGGTTTCGTAATGATTCGATTATAATCGAAACGAATCGAACCAAAGTTAAACGATTGGATGATGGTCGTTGTCAATTGATTTTGGATCCTGCCAGACAATATGATTGTGGCGTTTATAGGTGTGTTGCAAGAAATACCCTAGGTTCTGTAATGTGCAGAGCACGTCTATCACTTGGTGATGTTCCAAACAATGTCAACGCTCCTACCATCAAGGACTATTCCAGTCATGATATCCTTCTACAATGGTCAACACCAAAACACATAGCCGATGCTCATATTGAATCATATCGATTAGAATCGAAAAAGTCATCCACAACCGAATGGTCGATTGTGGATGACAATATCCATCAGGAATTTTATCTGGTTACCGGGTTGGAACCAAACCAATCATATCAATTTCGATTATTAGCAAGGAATAAATTTGGCTGCAGTGATCCAAGTCCACCAAGTCAACCTATCCAAACATTATCTGATGACACCGATAAACGAATTAGTTTGCCACTGGCAATGCAATTTGTATGCAATGATAATCTAGAAACCACCATCAAGCCAATCGATTATAATCAAGAAATGAACCCAATACAATTGATTAAATCAGAATTCAAAGAATTATATGATTTCAAATCTATAATCGCTACGGGAAAATTTGCCGTAATAGCACGTGGTTATATTAAAGATGGAAGTCGACAAACATTGGCCATAAAATGTATATTGGTTCAAAGTGAAATTGAATCAGCAATTTCACAGGAATTTGAAATTCATCGATCATTAGCACACGAACATATTGCACGATTAATGTATGCTAATCGTGATGGTAATCTTTTTACATTGGCCATTGAACTTTGCTCAGGTTTAAATGTTTTGACTTGCATTTGTCGTCGACAATCATATAATGAGCAACATATTGCACGAATTTTATGTCAAATATTGGATGCAATACAATATTTACATTTCCGTAATATTGCCCTATTGGAATTACAACCCGATAATGTGCTCATTGTTAATGAACAAAATCTACAGATCAAATTGACAGATTTCGCTTCGGCAAGATATGTTTCAAATGATAATCGTGATAATCAAAGTCAAAATATTAATCTACATGCTAATCCCGAATATATCGGTAAGTTGTTTGTTTTCTGAATTGGTTTATCTGATGATAATTTTATCTGTGTAGCACCCGAATTGATTCGAAATGAGAATATAATATTGCCGTATACGGATGTTTGGTCAGTTGCTGTTTTAGCATATATTTTATTAAGTGGTCATTCACCATTCAAAGGCAATGATGCGAAAGAAACGGCCGAAAATGTTGTTTTTGTTCGCTATCTTTTCGAACGTCTTTATCCACGTGTTACACAAGAAGCTATCAGATTTTTATTATCCGTTTTTAAATTAACACCACAGTAAGTTTTATTTTTGCAATTTTTCAATGATGATTCTAAATGCTTTTTTCATCAATCAATCAATTTAGCAAACGACCTACAATTGACGAATGTTATGAAAATAAATGGTTACTACCGAATGAATTTATGATGAAAAAACGTGAATCAGCCGAATTCGATACCAAACAGATACAGATATTCACCGAGCAATTTTCGAATGAAAAATCGCAATCAAAACATTCACGTTTACTTGATCTGATTGGATTAAATTCAAACGAATGAATTTGATCAATATTTGTTATTTTTTTCTTCGTTTTGTTTTGTTTTGTACAAAACCTTTATCCTCACACTCACTCACTCACTCACACACAACTCTAATCATATTTAGTTTGAATAATAATATTTTATAGTCGAAAACCAAACAACAGAAAAACAAATGATGATGATGAATGTCATGAATTTTATTTATTATTTATACACCACCATCACAATTAAAATTGATATTATAAAATTATGAATATTTGGTTGTAAATGTTCGAGGTACTTGATTTGCTAATGATATTTACAAGAGATAAACAGACAGAATTTCACAATTGTATAAAGATAAGAAATATAATGGTTGCAAATAAGGATAGCCATTTTTGTTTGGATGATATGAATCTGGATATACTGCTATTACAACCATCTTTACTATTACAGGTACAATATTCCAGATAAATATCGTAGGTGCCTTTACGATAAAGACAATTGTGTTCATTGCCGGTACCTTCACCCGGTGAACCGAGAAATGCACAATCACGAATTGTTCGCCAATTTCCATGAATTTTTTGACGAATTTTTCGACACATGGTTGCCTGTTTTAATTCCGGCTGTTTTTTGTTATCCTGACGTATCAATGTTTCGTACGGTGTTTCATCTGGAAAAAACAAACAAATTAAATCGAATGATAGTCATCGTTGTTGATGTGTGCTTACCTTCAAACAGATGGGTACGTTTAACTTCACGACAATCTTTTATCGGTAACGTATTATTATCAAATGGATCGGCACATTTTGGATCAGAATCGGAATGACATACCCAACATTTTATTCCAAATACTAATCAATTTGGGAGATGAATATTAAATAATAATTTCCATTTGATAAAATAACTTACCATTAGATATTTGAAAACTGAAAATTAAGATCCAAATTATCGATAGTAGCAAAATGCTTGAATATTTTTGATTCATGATTGATTATTTTACCAGAAAAATCGAAATTGAAATTGATTCGAAATTCTGACAAACAAATGAAAATAGAAAGAGAAAGAGAGCTGCACCTTGTTTATTTTCTGTGATGATCAAGTTTCGTTTTTGCAAAAAGACCAACGTGTTTTCTCATTTGAATGGATGTTAAGGTGTGCGAATAAAAGCCATCACCAACACAACAACCACCACCATCAAGGTAAGGCAAGAAATTTTTTCGTGCTTGGTGGTGGTATTGGTATGATTCACATACTGTTGCTGTGTTGCTTGCTTGGTAGCTGTTGTTACTTTCGATTCGTTTCAATTCAATTCAAAGTTGCCATGACTCTTTGTTTGTTTGGTTATTATTTACCTGCAGCAGCAGAAGCAGTAGTTTTACCTGTGACTAAAGTGACCAACTGGCAATAACACTGCACATACACAGGATCCTACAGGTTCCAACAAAAGAAAACAATAACAATCAGTTTATCGAACCTTTGGTTTGACAAAAGGTGGAACAAAAAAAATGTTTCGTTTCACAACAAAAGATTTATGCAAATTTTATTGGGTCTATGTTACTATTGGATCGATATTATTGTTGTCAAATTTGGGAGGTTAGTAGTCGTTTTGATTTATCCTGTTTTTGACTATTTTGATTGATTTCCAACTTGAATCAGTGGATGCAATCAAATGTTATCAATGCAGTACGGAAAAAGATGGCAAAGATGCGGATAATTGTGGTGCATATCGTTCGTTCAACCACAGTGAACATATAGCTGTTGATTGTATGGGTGAAGAAGCTAATACACCAGGCACATTTTGTTTCAAGTCCATTCAACAAGGACCGCGTGGTTTCATTTGGGATGGCCGTTGGCGAAGTGTTATTCGACGTTGTGCACAAGTGAGCGAACGCGGCATATCATGGAGTTGTGATTGGGGTTATTACGAAAATGGTGTCTATTGGGAGGAATGTTATTGTGCTGAAGATCAATGTAATCATGCAATCAAATTGACAACAAAATATCATCATATTGCATTTATTGTAAATATTATCATTTTATCATACATTTTGTCATAATTAAAACAATATTGATCCAGTCAATCAATTGATGCATATCACATTTGTCACAATTTTTCCTTGTTCGAAAAAGTTAGAATCGCATCGAGTCGGATGAAAATGATGAATGTCTTTGACCATGTAATTCGTCATCCGGAGGCATAGGTATATAATGTATATTGGATATTTGACGACCACGATATTGATTGAGCCAGATTAGTAGATAAGCAAACAATGATTGTATTAGGAAAAATATACCCAATGCAAGATAACCATTATCAGTGGTAAGATAATCGATCATCATTATGACAAACGATACCATCAGACAGCAAATGAACGTTGTGAGGATATTTCGATTTTGTTTCAATGCACCAACCATTCCGAATAATTGTATCAATGCCAACAACATGAGTAGAAAAAAATTACGAAAATAGTATAATACTGCAGGGAAAACAAGGGAAAAATGAACAATTATTATTAATTAATTTAAAGCTGACCTTTTCCAGTTTTCATCGATAATTTATCATCAGGTGATTGACCATTTTGAATTTCATTGATTAATGTTGATATCAAATCAAACATTAAATATGCGATGAAAAATATGGAAGCACCACATAACGAAATATTAATATGCTTTACAATATGGGGAAATAATATCTTTTTTATATTACCACGGATCGACATTTTTTGGACTGAATTACAAATTAATCAAACAAAACAAATGTCAATGTTAATCATCAACAACAATAACAACAAACAAAATAATAAACAATACTCCAAGTGGTGGTGGTGGTATGGCGAGTATTCATTGCGTCAAACACGCATATTGATGAAAAACATCCAAAATACTCTTCTTCATCTCTTCATATCGCCATTTACATGGATATATGCAACAATGTTTACTTGATGAACAGGATGGCCTTGAAAAAAATCACGGAGGCTAAATCCATTCGATCGATATGAAATGCCGGCAAAATGATTTTATCTGAATTATCTTTCTCTAGAAATACAAACATTCGAAAATTTGATACATTTTGATTTTGTCCGAATAAAAAAAAAAATACATTTTCCAATCGAATTGGTTTGGAGAAGAGAATTTTTTTGAAATTATGTAACATTATCGATGAATGACTCTTGACTGAGAGAAGAGAGAAAGTGAGAGACAGAGAAAACTGCTGTTGGCTGTTGTTAGTGTGATATTGATGGTTAACATTCAAAAGATTTCTCTCGGTGAATGAAAATATTATTGGCAAAAAAGAGAATTTTAAGAAAGTGTGTGAACTGATCTATACCAGTGTGTATGACCTGTTCATGATTCAAAATTTAAAAAGTTGAAACAAATTGAAAAATATCTTCCATAAATAAATATTCAATTGATCATGTTATATCGAGCATCTTTACTAACCAAGGTAGGAATCAGTTTTCAATATTTATTATGAATAATGATAATCGTATTGTTGTTGTCTAATATAATTAATCATCATTTTCATTTTTAGCCAAATCTAGGTGTTTGGCGTTGGTCATTGAATAGCAAAAATTCTGCACGATGCTTTGCATCGGCCGTACCGATGAGTCGTTTCGATAATGAACAAATACCTTATTCGAAATTGAATGAAAATTTAAAAATTGTTCGTGATCGGTATGTTGCATTATTACCCTGAATTGATTGAATTGAGTAATTTGATTTGAAATAGATTACAACGGCCATTGACATTATCGGAAAAAATCCTATATTCCCATTTGGATAATGCACGTGAACAAGATATTGAACGTGGTACCAGTTATTTACGTCTGCGACCAGATCGTGTTGGCATGCAAGATGCAACCGCACAAATGGCAATGTTACAATTTATATCCAGTGGTTTAGCCAGGGTTGCTGTTCCCAGTACAATTCATTGTGATCATTTAATTGAAGCACAAAAAGGTGGTGTCGAAGATCTAAAACGCGCCCTCAATATCAATGCCGAAGTATATACATTTCTTAGTTCGGCTTCGGCTAAGTATGGTGTTGGTTTTTGGAAACCAGGTAGCGGCATCATTCATCAGGTAATTTACTCTTATTTTATCTCGTTGAATCAAATGAAAATTGCGTTGCACACTTGTTATTAAACAAAATTTGCTGCAACGTAACTTTGATTGACGAAAAATAGAAATAATCATTTAAAAGGTGTAGAATCATTACAAGTTTACTTTGATTGTCTATGTATTATAATGATAACATTTTTTCTCCGTAGATTATTCTGGAAAATTATGCTTTTCCCGGTGTACTGTTGATCGGTACCGATAGTCATACGGTCAATGGTGGTGGTCTTGGTGGACTTTGTATTGGTGTTGGTGGTGCCGATGCTGTCGATGTAATGGCCGATATACCATGGGAATTGAAATGTCCCAATGTTATTGGCATCAAATTGACGGGAAAATTAAGTGGATGGACCTCTTCGAAGGATGTTATATTGAAAGTAGCCGATATTCTTACAGTAAAAGGCGGTACAGGTGCTATTGTGGAATATTTTGGCGAAGGTGTTGATTCAATCAGTTGTACTGGCATGGGTACCATATGTAATATGGGTGCCGAAATTGGTGCAACAACATCAGTTTTCCCTTACAATTCCCGAATGTATGATTATCTGGTATCAACGAATCGAAAGCCAATTGCCGAAATGGCCGAGCAAAATCGCCAATCATTATTGTCGGCTGATGCGAATTGTAAATATGATCAAGTTATTGAAATCGATCTGAATACCCTCGAACCACACGTGAATGGTCCATTTACACCGGATTTGGCTCATCCAATATCGAAATTGGGTGAAAATGCTAAAAAGAATGGCTATCCATTAGAAGTAAAAGTTGGTCTTATTGGTAGCTGTACAAATAGTAGCTATGAAGATATGAATCGATCAGTCAGTCTAGCCAAACAGGCATTAAATCATGGTTTGAAAAGTAAAGCAATTTTTACTGTTACACCTGGTTCAGAACAAATTCGTGCCACCATTGAACGTGATGGCCAAGCAAAAGTATTACGTGATTTTGGTGGTATTGTTTTAGCTAATGCTTGTGGTCCTTGCATTGGTCAATGGGATCGTAAAGATATTAAAAAAGGAGATAAAAACACCATTGTTTCTTCATATAATCGAAATTTTACCGGCCGTAATGATGCTAATCCAGCAACACATGCATTTGTTGCATCACCTGAAATGGTAACAGCTTTATCGATTGCCGGTCGTTTGGATTTTAATCCATTAACTGATGAATTGACCGGTTCGGATGGCAAAAAATTCAAACTCCAACCGCCAAGTGGTGATGAATTACCGAAAAGCGGTTTTGATCCTGGTCAGGACACTTATCAGGAACCACCAAAAGATGGTTCCAGTGTTGAGGTTAAAGTTGATGCAAAATCCGATCGATTACAACTGTTATCTCCGTTCGATAAATGGGATGGCAAAGATCTGGAAGATATGGTTGTTTTGATTAAAATCAAAGGTAAATGTACTACCGATCATATTAGTATGGCTGGTCCATGGCTTAAATATCGTGGTCACTTGGATAATATTTCCAATAACATGTTTATCGGGTAGGTTTTATAATGTGATTGATTTAATTGAATGGTGATCATTCTTTATATTGGTTAGGGCCATCAATTCGGAAAATAATGAAGCCAACAAGGTGAGAAATTTAGTTACCGGTGAATGGGGTGCAGTGCCAGATACGGCCAGATTCTACAAATCAAAACAAATGAAATGGGTTGCTGTTGGCGAAGAAAATTATGGCGAAGGTAGTAGTAGAGAGCATGCTGCATTAGAACCAAGACATCTTGGTGGTCGGGCTATTATCGTTAAAAGTTTTGCACGTATTCATGGTAAGTTTGATTGGTTTGTCTCTGTTTTCAAACTAATCTTTTTTCTTTGGGATAGAAACAAATCTTAAAAAGCAAGGTTTATTACCACTTACATTTGCCAATCCAGCTGACTATGATAAAATTCAGCCGGATAGTAAAATTTCATTGGTAGATTTGAAAAATCTAGCACCAGGAAAGGTTTGTTAACATATATTTTTTCCATGTTTGATTCTAATTTGTCAATTCATTTTTAGCCTGTCAAATGTATTATCAAACAAAAAGATGGCCGCTCTGATACAATTCAATTAAATCATACCATGAATCAACAACAAATTGAATGGTTCAAAGCTGGTAGTGCATTGAATCGTATGGCTGAATTGTTGAAAAAGTGAAAATCCAAGTGAAATCTAATGGAATAGTCATAGAGATAGAGAATTTGTAGAATTTTTTTCTGCTTGTTATGTTATTGGATTAATTTTACTTATTACATAATAATAATAAAACATTTAATATTCACAAAATTTTGTTGACGTGTTTAAATTCCCGATAATTGGGATAAAGGATTTTCCAAATGTTCAATGAGTGCTTTCATTTTTTGTTTCATTTGACCGATATTAACTTTATCGGAGGAATCACGAGAATATAGACAAAGAAGTACATCGGCAACGGCCGAAATCATAGCCATACCATGTTCAGCTTCAATGTAAATGGATGATAATTGACTTGATGCCATATGAGTACGTCCATAGTTTGAATATGATGCCCATATACCACTAGCGATTGCCGCAATCATTCGAACATCTTTATCACCATACCCGGAATAGGCAAGTAAACGACCATCTTTATTAAATAATCTGGATTGATTGATTGAATTCGATCAGAGAAAGAAGTGAGTGAAAAGTATTTTCAAAAATGTAAACAACCAGAAAAAACTTACAATGTTGCCGAAATACCTGAGGTATTGGCCTGATTTAGAATCTGTGTCAATGTTTTTGGTCGCAACATTTGGAATACAACAATTTTTATTTGAAAAAAGATTACGAACTGAATAAAAATTTGATGAAATGATTTGACGGGCGGATTAATTTGTGTTTATTTGATTTCGATCAGTTTGTGTCTGTGCGACACGTACTATATGAACAGTATGGATTTATTTTCGAATGTCGAAAAAAAGTTTTTTTTATTCCTCACCATTTTCTTCTCATTAATTGTGTTCCTGTCTGTTTTAGTTCTTCAGATGAAGTTGTTGATGATGATGAATATCATCGATCGATCCATTCATTCATTCAAAATAATGTTAGTTGTTTTTCTCGATCATCATCATCAAAAAATAACAACAACTGTAATGATATTTTTTAAGTTCATCATTTTGGAACCAAACAAAAAAGGATCCAAGTCATTAACTATTGCTCGGTATTGCTCACGGTCGGTTATCATTGTTTATCATTTATGATGATGATGAATTTCACTCTCCTTCTCTAACCTCAATAATAATGATTTTATCCAACACAGAAAAACAATGAACAAAAAAATCCCAAATTCCGAACCCTGAATCGACCCAACAAACCGAAAACGAATTGAAAGAACCCAAATTCTTTGCTTTCCTCACACACAAAAACATTATTTGGCAATGGGTTGGGATACCTGAACTTGTAGGCGGTGATGGTTTTTTCATCATCCATTCCATTCCATTCCCGCTACAAAAAAAAGTATTTCTCATCATGATGATGATGATGAGATGCAATAGTGTTTCAGTTAGTATGGGCAATTGGTACATTGCATCGTCGCCGATGTTAACATTTTTTTTGTTCGTTCGATAAATGGTTGGTTGATGTAGTCGGTTGATTTTTTCTGGTGTGTGCGCGTCAATCGACGATCCAAAGAGACGAAAAAAACAGCACCAAAAACCAGGTATGTATTATATTGTGACAAGGGAGAAAAAAAGTTTTCATTTTTTCTTTCGGTTTTTCGAGTTTTGCAGATGCAGAAGAACGGCGCAAATACATCACCATCCATCCATCCATTTATTTGGTTGGAAAAAGCAAATGTTGGAACTCGAACACTAACCAACCAAACCTATATAGGGATACCAGTCATTTGATTTCATTTCATTTTTGGCCAATCATTTTATTTTTGCTCAAAACGAAATTTCTTCAATAGACCAATAACGATAAAAAAGCTTCATGAAAAAACCTCATGATTCATTTTGTGGTTCGATTCTTCGGTCATATTTGTTTTGTTTTTAGTTGTTGGTTTTCATCATTGAATGATGTGTGAGTGAATGAATCATCATTAGAATTTCAATTCATTTGGAAAACAATTCATTTTTCTAGTCAATTTGTGATCATCATCTTCATCATGTCCGATTTTTATATTTGATTTCCAATCTTAATCATCATCATCCTCGAGTCAACAACAATAATTTATCATTTCCATTCATCATATCATTTTTAAAGTAAATTTTAAAGGTAAGTTTTTTGAAATTAATTTTTTTTGAGATATTTTGATAAGGATGAATAGTAACAACATCAAAAGTCAAACACAAACACACATTTGGTCATAACATTTATTTGATTAATCGATCGATCGATTGATTGAATTCATGTGGTTTCATAATCAAATGTTGTGTGTATACAAACACTTTTGCCTTTCCATTTTTGACATATACGTCGGTCATCGACAGTGAAAATGTTGAAAATGCAAAATATTCTTGCCTGCAATGTGTGTGCTTCGATCAATTCGATGGCAACCTTTTTTTGCATTTTCATTCGGTTTTAATGATCGTCTCTATGGAATTTTTTTTTGTATGGATGAAAATCCTAATGATTAGAGTTTATTAAACATTCAATTCAATTGAATTGAGATTGCAATCGAAAAAAAAATTTCTTTTTTTTGATTTCCATCCAAGCGACAATCATTGTTGCGAAAGAGAAAGAGAGAGGAAAAATTGTCATTTTTTCAAATGATTACCTGGTCCCCAGAACAATAAAAAACAATGATGAAAAACGATAATAATAATAATAATAATAGAGAAAAACAATGACACACGATGAAAACATAGGCATGGTACACACACGTGTCAACCAGCAGCACGTATCCAGAAAAAACGATGCTGGTCTTTTTTTTGATTGACACGCTGATGATGATGATGATTACGTGAATGAATGAATAATATTATCCAACAAAGGACATTGCCGTTAGAGAATCGAAAAACTTTTTCTCTCCTACGTAGTCAGCCATACGTGTCGAGAGGAAAATGAAAAGAACCGTTATTCACTATGACAGGAAAAAGATTGCCATTATGCCAGCTAATTATATATGGAGACTGATGTTTTTTTGCCCAGTCAATCTTTTTCGAGGTTCGATGGCCCTTTTTTATAACTTTTTTTTTGTTTTTTCCATGAAACAGTGATGTCCTCAGTGACCGTCTACGAACAATCATCATCGTCCGCATCATCTACTAAATCGGCTACAAATACTATGGATCCTATTCAATCGATACGATTATCATCATCATCGCCACCGTCATCATTCAAATGTTCATCATCAACATCATCAATGACAGCATTTTCCAATATTGGTGATGATGATGGCCTCACTAGTTTAAGTTGGCTGCAAAATCTTAATATGTGTATGACAAGATTAGGTGCACCAACACCACCTACACCACCAGCAAGTCCTATATGTTTTCCATTGAATAATTCTTCACAAACATCAATCATCAACACCACTTGTCAAAATGGTTTACAACAGCCAACAACAACAACGACGACAACCACACAAATAACAAAATCTTCGCCGGTCAAATTGACTGCAACAACAACAATATCGGGCCATAAATCGAAAGCAATCATATCTAGTCCTCCCATACAAGTGATTAGCCATATTGTTGATAATAATCATGTCAAACAGTCTGATAATAATGACAAAATTTCATTCCCATCCAATACCACAAACGGAATCTCATCCAATAAAGTGGCCAAATTGAATCGAACCAATAATCAACATCATTCATCTGCTACCGAAATTTCGATAGTTGGGGCCAAACCAGCAACCACTACTAATATGAATAATAAGAAAAAATTGAATAATCGAAAATCAATCACCAATAATCATAAATTCAGCAAAAAGAACAATGCCAGCTCCAGTCATAATAGCAATCATCAACATCAATCCAATACATCATTGAATGGATCATGTTATCAACATGACCATCATCATGATAATCATGACGAGTGTCAAGAAGAATCAATAGTAGTAGATTATAAAATGAACGGCCAGATTAAACCGCCGTATTCCTATGCAACATTGATTTGTATGGCGATGAAAGCCAATAAAAACAAAATGACACTTAGTTCCATTTATAAATGGATTAAAGAAAATTTTCTCTACTATCAAAATGCCGATCCGAATTGGCAGGTAAGTTTGTTTTTATCATTAACAACAATAATAATAATCGATAGTAATTAGATAATGATGCCCATTCTCCTCAATCATTTTCTTAATGAACATTTTGCCTCGGTAGAATAAAATTACTAGAATGCAATGCAATCATCGAAATGTATGTATTATATCGATCGTTGCCTTTTTATTTTATCGCAATATCGTTACACACCGAACAAAAAAGACCATTCCTTTTCTTTGGATTTTGTTGTTTGTTTGCTGGTTGACGCTTAGCAACCTTTTTATTGCATAAACCACACATAAGGCTAAATCAGTGACGCCACACACAGATTCATATATAGAACCCACTGCAAGGCGTGTGCGTCGTTACCAAAGCGACCGTTTTTTTGCTTGGTTGGCCACACAGTTTGATCATTATCCATCCCTGAATGATGCTTTAGAGCCGCCTTTTTTCCACTATATACTTTCGATGGGTGCATTATTAGTTAGTGAATGCCAAAACCCAAATAAGATTTGCCCACTTTTTTACTTATTTTTTGGTTTGAAATGATGATGATGATGATAAAAACAATGCCCCATTGAGCAGAATGTTGGTGTTTGACGGTGGTGGGGGTATTATTGTATACCGCAACAGCCACGCGTGATATATGACAATTAATTTTTTTGTTGCGCTAACTAACTAATTATTAAACCACTCATTAATAGGAAAAAACAATGTTTTTGTCTGTCTCTAATAATTATTACCCATCACAAATAAATATTATTATTATCAAACATCCATCTAATCTATGTTATCATTTGTTTGTTGGACAAAAAATTGAAATTGTCTTTTTTCATCCAGAATTCTGTCATGGGATGAGAGCGCGATAGAATTAATGAATTTTTTTTCTGAATACCGGTGACAGTTGTGAAAAAATTTATATAGAGTGGATTGATCGATATTTTTCGAAAACATGCAGCACATCATTTTTTTGGAACATGAATAAACGATAATGTTGATTTGCTATTATTTATCATTGTAGAATTCTATACGTCATAACCTTTCGTTGAATAAATGTTTCATCAAAATTGCCCGAAACAAAGATGAACCGGGTAAAGGTGGTTTCTGGAAATTGGATCCAATCTATGCCGATAGTCTTGTGGATGGTGTTTTCAAAAAACGACGTCCAACGCTCAATTCGAATCATAATATGAACAATGCTATAAGTAAATCGAGTAACAAGAATGGTATTGCACAAGATAATGGATCGATAGTTGCCAGTGCCAAGAAAAAAGTAAGATCTATTCACTAACTGAATGAATGATTTGAGAATGCCACTATAATGATGATATTCTTACTGTTTTTGCATATTTTCAGCGCAAAAAGCGCCAATCAAGCGGATCGGCTGCTCGAATAAATGGTGGTGGCAGCAATGGTCACAGCGAACTTTTTTATATGGACTATATAGAAGCGACAACTTCCTCAGCAGCAGCAGCAAATCTTCCAAGCCAACGACAGCCAAGAATTGAACAGGAAACGCCACCGAATTCGGCGGAATCATACAGCCAGGTAAGTCTAATTGGTTGTTTTGGTTCTGAAATAATCAAATATTGTGTGTTTGGTTTTTGTGTTTAGCAACAGCACAAAATGATGCTAGATATGAATGAATTGAACACAGCCATCGACAATATCGACGATAGAAATAGTGTGTTATGTTCGGATACAAATTATCCTAGCTATACATTTGCATCGACTGTTGCCAATCTTGTCGAATGTGGTAATAACAACAGTAGCACTAATACCACCGCTACTATCGGATTTAGTAACGAAGTTTGTGTTCAACATGTACAAGATATGATGGAAAATGATTGTTGGAACACTATATTGACTGATGTCGATCTGTCCGAATTGGTCGATCCGATTACTTATACTGATTCGGTTGCTCAAATTATTCATCCAATCGAAAACGATTCAAGTTTAGTCAATTGTAGTCCTAATCCAGACGCAAACAATAACAACCGAATCATCAGTGTCAAGAATAATCTACCTACCAATGGCAGCGCTCCACTAAGTGAATTAGACGCTAGCCATCTGTTGGATGAAGGCCATTTTTTCTACGATCATCGAATTCATGGTTTAGTGTTTAATGCCAATGTGCCGGCCAATGTTCAGAATCAGATTATTTCGGCTAATTCGAATGTGGTGACCTGCATCAACGATACAAGCGATCTGATTGTGTCCGATCATTGGGACAATCAATGGACATCGTATACCACCAACGATAATTCCGCTGTTCAATTAGAATGTGATCCAACAACTTCCACCGAATTGATACTTGGCCCATTGGAAGAAAACGAAGCGGTCAAATTGAACGAAATTCAAGTACTTTCCACCGCTGCATCTACGATGTCTAAACAACAATCAAATGAAGCCAACACGTCCGTCGCCGATTCATCATCCAACTCGACAATCATGACAAGTGTGGCAGACAATTTCGAATCTAGCACCCCGACAAATTCGATTCAGATCTGGGAATGTGGTAAAGCTTTAATGCAGGTGGATACGAATGCGCTCGAATTATTTCATACACTCGATGTGGAACAATTGCAACAGTTTTAATGATCATAATAATAATAATAATCGAGGTCCGTCTTTAAACGTGACCTTGTCTGTACATAGTCACATCGATTGCTAATCCATCAAGATAAATAGATTACATGTCAAATATAAAAACAATTCTACAGCAAAAACACTCAATTGTTATCATTTTTTGTTTTTGATTTTTGATAAAAATTAGTATGTTCATAAATGATGGGCAACATTTTTTGATCCAATTGTATCCGTGGATCATTCACCGATTTGAACTGGGACCAGCCATGAAAACATTTGCTGAATTTACGCGTTTCTTTTCCTTTGAGCGTCAACATCAAAGTACGAGGCCGTTCCGGTTGCTTGAGTTTCATATTCTGTACATATACCTGTGCACTTTTATAGGCAAGTTTCACTTCCATTTCACTGCAACGAGAACCTAGCCATATGAATACTTGTACCCCGTTGTCCAATATCATAATATCTTCATCGACCAAATCATCCTGACAAAAATCTGAACATTTTTCCGATACAGTAAAATAGCCTTTGTCGTTGGAACAGCGAAACAACCGTGAATAAGACATGAATGAGCAATCAGTATCGATATTGAATGTTTTGAATTGTTGTTTGAATAATTCTGGTTCGAATCCTTCATTGATGACGGTCATCGGATACTTATGTGACGGATACATTTGGCTCACCATTTCTTTGGCCACTTGAACGTCATCATCGTCGACGGCCGATCCGACCCAAATAAAAACATGATTATCACTTGGAAAACAGGTGGCCGATTCTATTTTGAGTATGTAGGTAAAAGCCGAATACAGGAAAGCTGGCTTGTCCAGATTTAGTTGAATAGTTCGCAACGTAAGCATATCACAATTGGAACGTAAATGATAAAATTCATTTTGTCCCGGCCTAACCAAACGCTCAGACGGTGAACGGTTAAGATCTCTACGACCCGAATGAATGACAAATTTTCGTTTGAAATGTGAAAGGAATTTGGCATTCTCCTGTTGTTGTTGAAACCGGATAATTTTGAGTTTGTCTTTGAACCAGGCTTCGAATTTGCTTTGTACGGTGAACGTAAAGGTTAGCCATCCCATGTTGGATGCTTCACGACCTTGCCAAAAATAAACAATCCAGAACTGGGCATCTTCGTCGGCCAGATCGTCTTCTTCTTCTTCGCCATCATGTGATTCGGTATCAGGTATCCAATAATAACGGCACAAGAAAAAATAACATTCACCGGCAAAAAAGTGTCCCAGTTCTTCTTCGGGCAGTTTTTTGAACGTTTTATTTTCCAACACGAAAGCTTCCATATTGATGAGATCTTCGTTCCATTCTTGAGCCAGTTGCAGGGATTCCGTTTTCGGGACAATCGGTTGTCGAGGCATAAACAATGCGTTCAAATCATATTTGAAATCAGAATGTTCCGAAAGCCATTTGTTCATGTCGGCACCAATTTGCTGAACCGATTTGGCAGTTCGTGTGAAATCAACAGCCACAATTTCATCCCAGGTAGCAAATCGAGATTTGAATGATTGCGTTTCCACTCTAAACGATAAAGATTTTGGTTATATCAAAAATGCAATAAAACAATACACTTACCCTTCAAGACATCGGGTGACCATGGCATATTCTGGTCGTTTAATCATGGCAAACAGTTCTTGGGCCAATTTAAGCGCGGCAGCTCTTACTAATCGAGCAGATTTGCGACCAACCCTATGAAAGAAAGAAATAATTATTGATCAAAATAATTCATTAAAAAAATGACATACCATATGTAAACATCGGTTACAATATCCATAATGTAAACATTTTTACTTTCGAAATGACTTTTGCTCAGTTGTTTTGGTTTGTAACGAATTTGCGGTAGTTCCAAATACCCAGTACCCAAACAAACTTGATATAAAACCGGACTAGTTGGACGAAAATCTTCAATACCTTCGACCAGAAAATTATGATCGATATTGGTAATATCTTGATTATCGAATTCGGTCCAAAATTCTTCTGGCTCTTGATATTGGTCAACAAATTCCAATGTTGTTTTGTTTTTTCTTTCTTCTTTTTTGATTTTTTCCACCAATAAACGAGCTTTTTGTTTGACAGTATTTTTCGAACGTTTACCATTCCATACGTAGATTTTGTAGCCGGTATCCAAAATGAAAACAAATCTGGTGTCCAATGAACAAATATTAACGGCAACAGATTCCATATAAAGTTGCTGATTGGATACTTCATGCAAACGATACAAACGAATGGCGACGGCAACCTCTTCCACCGTATAGAAACCGCTTAATGTACGTCCACCTTTGATGTAGGTGATACCTTCGGGAAACAATGACAAAAATTGCTCACTTTCTTCGCCCTGTTCTTCGCGAATCGTACGACATTTGGCCGACAAATAATTACGCAGATTGACAGCATGGATAGCAGCACAAGCTTTTTTGTCCAAGGACGTTTCCGATCCGATCCAGTAGTAAATATCCCAATCGGGGTTTTGATTTTCATTTTCGAACGTTTTCAATATGATATAACAATCGGCTTCATAAAATTTGCCAAAACATGCTTCGTCCAATCTGCTTGGATAAAAGTTATCAATTTCCCAGACTAATATGCCCATGAATTGACCGACATCATCTTCAAAATAATCCGAATAATCAAGCGGGGGTTTTTCCAATGATTCTTCCCATCGTTTTGGTTTGAGATTTGTGTCGGCAGTTTCGTAGATATGGGCATCAATATTTTCATTTTCTTTGGCCAATTCGGTCATTGCTTTGAGTACTTTGGAGGAATCAGATTCGTTTGTCATTTCTTTAGCTCGCCGTACAAGCCGTAATTTTCTAGCGATTGGATCTTTCGAACACGATGAATTCATCTGGTTAAGTCCGTTACCATAATTGGCAGAAGCATTACGAAATTGATTGTTAATGTTGAAATCAATATTGTAGATGTTTTTATTGTTTTCTTTCAGTTCAGCCGGCTTTGGTGGCAGAATTAAATCGGGATTATCGGCAAGATCCAGCACTTTCAGATCAGTGAGAAAATAAATAGCATCTGGTAATGTAACCAATTTGTTTTTGGATAGAATTAGCTTTTTTAGCTTTCCACATCGAACAACTCCTTCGGGTATAAGCTCGAGATTATTATTGGATGCCATAAATATTTCCAAATTATATAGCTTGCCAATACTGTTTGGTATTCCATCGAAAATTAATTCATTGTCATTTAGATAGAGGCATCGTAATCGCTCTAATTTGCTCAATGATTGTGGCAATGCTTTTAGACGGTTTCGCGATAGATTCAATACTTCCAAATTGACCCAACATTGATCAATATTGCTGGATATTTCTACAATTTGATTATCACTTAGATTTAAACGTTTTAACGATGACAATGTATAAACAACATCAGGTATTCGATGCAGATCATTGCTCGATAAATTCAACTCAGTAAGATTCACCAAATTATCCAGTGAAGTGGGCATATTGTGCAGCGAACGTTGTGTATTGGATAAATTTAATGATTGCAATGAATGTAGTGATTGTAATTGTTTCAATTGATTATGTCCCAATGGATTATTGCTTAGATTCAATACCTGTAGATTGACTAATCTTCGCATTTGTGGTGGTAGAGTAACTATGTGCCAAAATAAAAAAGTGTTAAGGGATTCAAGTAAAAGAACAATGAGAACTTACCTAGATTATTGTTACTCAAATCCAGATTGAGCAGATCGGTGAGATTGATGAACAATGGATTGGGTATAGTATCGATTTGATTGTTGGACAGATTGAGCACTAATAATGTACGACATTTTTCCAGATCCTCTGGCACCGATTTAAGACAATTATGGCTAAGATCCAGAACAAACAATTCATCCAATTTGAATAGATCAACAGGTATGCCATTATTGTTGATTCGATTATGACGTAATACTAGTGATCGCAGTGTTTTCAACGATGATAATTCGCCATGTAAAGTGACCAGATTATTCTTGGCTAACGATATGGACTCCAATTTATTCATGGTGGCCATTTCTTCGGGAACCCAATCAATTCGACTCGAGTCCAATTTCAACCACCTTAAACCGGTCATATTGATCATTTCTTTGGGGAATTTTTCTTCCTCAAAATTATTATGACTGAAATCAATACCCCTCACAAAGGGTAATACACGAGTCGAAGCCATTGTTGATTAATTAGCAAATGTTGAAAAAGTGAATGAATTGATGTAACAAAATGCTGCTGTTTGAATTCAGAATTTATTCATCATCATAATTAATTGGATGATGATATGATAGGAATTATAAATAGACACACCAGTAAAATTGCATCAACATCAAAATTCTTGCCACAACATTGTTGGTGACAGCAAGCAACAAAAAAAATTAACCTCATTACATAAACGATATTTTCGTTGTTGATGTCGTTGATTTGGCCGTCTTCGTCGTCAAGCCAGTCGTTAGCCCGTCAAATAAAACGTACAACCGGGAAATTTGAAAAATATTTTTTTGTGATAAAATTGATTCATCTAATAGTTTTATTTTAACAAAAAAATTATGCTTCAATTTACAATGAAAGACAAGATTATTATAACAACAAATAATAGCTGCTGGATTAGAAATTATGACAGATCATGGTGATGATGATGATAAATAATTGCTTCCATTCATTTTTCCACAAAATAATTAGCCTGAACAACATCGCCAGCCACGTTGATCAAACATTGCGCCTATTTCAATACGAATGACAAAAACAATTTTAATCCAAGTACGGTGCAATGGCAATAAATTACCTGATTTTTATGCGGATTAAACAACAACAAAAGTTGTGTTACGTGAAATGAAGTCATTGCATTACCACTCAATGATGACACATGAGAACGAACAATAGCAAACACTTCGGTCATGAAATTATGAACAAAACCACTAAGGCCACCATACTGTCAAAGCAATAATGGTTATAAATAGTAGATTACAAATGCATACAATATTGTGGACATTACTCACATCTCGAATACTACTGCTTTCACGTATAAAAAAGAAATCCAAATTACCCAGGTAATTACTGATCTGCGCTTTTGGTATATAGCTAAGCGGAGTCAATTCGATACCGAAATGTTCATTTGGTGTGCTCTATGCGAAAAAGAAATTTTGAAATTTGTTTTATGCGAAAACGGTACATACATGATAATGGTATTGGTTTTTCTGCTGTTCACAATGATTGACTTCATTTTGCATATCGTTAACATTGTCCATAATAAATATGAGATCATTGTCCTGATGTTCTGATTGAACTGATCCAATGAAATTAAATTGAATCAATTTGACAATCCCAATAACTAAGCCACTTACCAGTGATTGAACGTTGTCGGGAACTTGGTTGCATTTTGGAAGGTGGACCCATACCAATGGCGGTACCTGTCAAGGTAATTTGGATGATGTCCGCCTCCGGAATATCGATACGAAATTTTAGATCAGTTAAACAACATGGGATTAATGAACGAAACTTAATGAATAAAGATTGAATAATCCAATCAAATTGATGACCAAACTGTTTGATTGATTGCAATTTAGTACGATAAACTTGTGCAAACATTTGCAGATTGCAAACAAATTGACATTCTTTGCCGGGCATATATTCCGAATTGCAAACATCAAATCCTTTCGGAACATCCGAATCGATCATCAACGAAATGATATCGGCATCTTCAGTATCATCAACTTCCAATAGAACACAGGTATCTTTACTTTCCACCGGATCTACTGTCTGATTGCTGTTGTTGTTGTTAACTTTTTGTTCATTATCGTCACTTTTGATGAGATCCTCATCATTATTGTTGAGGGCATTAGTAGCTGTTGTTGATGTTGTTAAAGTTCGTTTCGAATCTTGACTGGTTGAACTTAGATTATAAAGTTTTCGATTACGTGCAATACTATCCGATATCAGTGCCTGTATTTCATTCAATTTGGAACACCAAGTTCCTTTGCCGGACGATATTTTTGGTGGCGATGGTGGATGAAGTGGGGAAAAAAAGGCACCGGTACCTGTAGCCACAGCTACTAACATATTTTCGCCAAACGAAACTAGAACGGGAGAAAAACGGAAAATCGTTAATCAACAATTTAATGGGTAACAAGACAAACATACTTTGGATGGAAATATTGAACAAACAGTTCATTCCTTTGATTTTTAATTTAGTGAGCAATTGTCTATACAGTTCGTATTCGAGAAAAGGAAGACTCTGCAAAACAACCACACAAATCAATCAAACAATTCATCAATTTGGTTTGTGCAACTTACATCAGATATTTCTTTGGCACAAGCTTCACCTTTCGATTCACGTTTCGGGCGACAAACCCGTGCCTGAATCAATGTGCCATAGCCAATTGTGGGCACACTATCATATGGTTCAATGGTCATGAATAGAAAATCTGGCACTTTGTATTTGTTACATAATGAACACAACATTAAATTCGTTGGAAAGGGAACCTGGTTATCTTGATATGGCACATGACAAATGTGACATGTTGTCGTGGTGGTGGTTGTTTGATTAATGTTTAATGATTTTAGTTGATGCTGTGAATGGTTTGATTGAATGAAGGAACCTAGTGGAAAAACCGAAAGTTATCTGATGCTGTCATGAGAAAAATGGGAAAAATACAAACTTTTGAAATCATAAAAATGGCTTTTCGAATCGTTAATGTTGTTGGTAGTGTTGGCAACATTTTGATTATAGTGGTTATATAATTGTTCAATATCGGTTTCCGATGTTTTGAGCAATGCTGCTGTACCACAAGCCGATAGGATGCATATTTCATCATTGATGTATGCAGTTTCAGTATAACCCAAAACAGCATTACAATTCAATGTTTTCTTATGCGAACGAATTTCTTTACGCAATTCAGTCCACCATGCATCACGTGTTTCCGGATCATCTGGGTTATTAATCTGATCGAGAAGTTTCACCGAGCGTGCCGATATAATGCCACCCAGATTGGCTATCAAGCCGGTGGGGAATGTTTTCAATGTTAAGAATGGATATTCGAGTAATTGCAATTTTTCTGGAGATAATTTCATTTTATTCATTATATTGGATGATTTATTATTATTATTAGTGATATTCAATATCGTGGTGGCTGTCGTCGATGTGGTCATATTGAACGATGTGGATGATGAGGATGAAGCCACATCAACAGAATTATTACTTTGATTATGCTGATTTGATAATTGATTCAGGTCCGAATCGGATAATCGACGCAAACAAGATGAATTCGAATGTTTGTCCGTTTTGTTGATCGATTGTTGTTGTGGTTGTTGTTCTGCATCCTGATTGGAATCTTTGATGAAAATATTAGTTGATCCATTATACAATTGCACGGTTGGCGATGCTGATTTGCACGTTAATTCTTCCACAGGTATTGATGATGATGGCAGTATATCGGTGGCTAAATTATTATTGATAGAGACTAGTTTGGTGATGAGAACAGCTGTACCGATACCACGCACAACGATACCGGATTCGCCTTCCAGATCGAAATGTTGTTGATAACCAACCACAGCATTACCGCCTAAATCCAATGCTTTAATGCCAATTTTACGCTGTACTTCACCGGAAATTTTCGAAAACAGTGTTTGTCGTGCTTCATTCGATGCTCTTGGCGTTCGGATTTTATCAATCCACTGATATTCGGGATCATGATTAACGACTAATTCTTCAACAAAACCAAGTATAGCTTCGCAAATATAACCTTCCGGGATTTTGGGACAATAAAAAAATTTAAAACCACAAGATGATTGCCGATAACGATTAGCATCGGATATCAAAGCCACTTTGACAATGCAGTTGATTTCGCCACGTATTCCGTGCATTGTATCGTAGATGGGAAACCAACCGGAAAGTACATGCTTGGAATCCTTTTGCAATAATGGATTCAGATCGATATAAACTTTGCCGATAGCATCGTTAGCTGAATAAGTGTCGTAATCCATTATCCGAATCTGTAATGGTTCATCTTGCAGTTCTTCATCATCAATTTCAAACCGAAACCATTCAGAATTCCAATATGGATTGAGCGATCGGCGATAAACTTCAGTTTTATAGGTTGTTCCGCCAAGTTTCACCTCAACAAATGCATCGGATGCATCGCTTGATTTATCCATTACAGGTAGATTGCGGCCAGCTAAAATTCTTACTTTAACTTTTCCCGGCATGGTGTTTGGTGTCGTGTGTTTGTTTGCTTCAAAATGGAAATAGGATCAGGCAATATGCAATGGCATTTGGATTAAACATGGTATCAATATGATTTGTGGATTAGTTTATTATGCATGAATTAACCAAGATAAGATATATTGGCTGCTACTATGGAGATGAAGCAGGAAAAATATTAAAATTAATTAATTTTGGTCATTTCAATTGAGATCAAACAAAACCGAGCGAAAAAAGAACACAACACATAACATGGTCGAACGTCAACACGTTTAGTGCAAAAACATTGAATGATCATCACCTGGTTGCTGGTGCAGAAACAAAACAAACAAAATCAGTTGTTGTTGTCAGGTAAACTTTAAATTAAAATCATGTGAAAGCGAATCAGGCAATCCAATTAACCCTTGTATCACGATTTTATATACAATTCAATTATGCCATTGAAAAGCATCATCATGGGCAATTCGTTAAGTTTGTTATTGCCGTTGGAATCAAATAGGGAACCGAAAGCGAGAATAAACGATAAATGGCAATGTTTTTGTTACGCGATGCGCGTGAAGTAACATAAGCAGAACGCAGAAAATATCATGCACAGGCAAAGTGAATGGAGAAAAGCTCAACGTAAAGCTTACACACAACATAAACAACAACAAACATAAACTGAGAGAAAAACAGACAGAAAACAAAACAAAACGAGTCGAATACGAATTTGATTATTGCGCCTTAACTTGGATGTTTCTGTTTTCTTTCTGCTGATTCCGCCTAAACAAAACAATAATAAATCTGTTACGGTTATCTTTGGATTGATAATTATTTTTCTGTTGAATCATCCCTAACACCAAATGTTTTGCATATCTGGATCTGGTTGTTGTTGATTTATTGTTTTGTTGAGATTCTGAAATTGACGATCAAGATACGAGATGAGCTTCTCAAGTGGTGGTAGAGGTGATGACGATGAAAATCGTGTGTTTGTCAATTTTAACCATGAATCAACGTAAGTGGTTTATTAGTTTGGGTTAATTTTGGTTATTAAATTTTGATTCACCTAGATCATTGGTGGTAGGAACTCGAAATCGTTTTCGTTTATACAACATTAAAGATGTTGATAATTTGGAGCTTTTATATGAAGATGATTCCGATTATACCGTGATTGCTGAACGATTATTTTCGTCATCATTGTTGGCAATCGTATCGTTATCATCACCGCGAAAACTTCGAGTTTGTCATTATAAAAAGCGTACTGAAATAACATCATTTTCCTATACAAATACCATATTAGCTGTAAAATTGAATCGTTTACGATTGATTGTTTGTCTGGAAGATTCGATATTTATTTATAACATAACCGATTTGAAGTTTATCCATTCAATACGACAAACACAACGTAATCCTAATGGAATTATTGCATTAGCACCAAGTAATGAACAATGCTATCTAGCTTATCCGGCCAAACAAGATAAAGGAGAAGTGAATATATTCGATGCTCATAAATTAGATAATAAATTGACCATTACGGCTCATGATAATCCATTAGTATCGTTGACATTCGATACCCAAGGAACCAAATTGGCAACCGCATCCGATAGGGTATGTTGTTTTGCCTCCAGCTTGAACGTAATTTTACTTTTTCCACTTTGAACAGGGTACAGTGATCCGTGTGTTCGATACATCAACAGGTGATTGTATCTATGAATTTCGTCGTGGTTATGCTCGTTGTGTATCGATATATTCATTATCATTTAGTCCCGATTCACAATTTCTGTGTGCATCGAGCAATACCGAAACTGTTCATATATTCAAATTGAATGAAACGTGAGTATGAAATGAACGTTGCAGCAAAGATGGCCTAATAATTTGTTTGTTACAGTCAACCACAGGATGATAATTTGGCGGTAATGTTTAAATCGTATGTAAAAAAAATCTGTCAAACAGCCGGCTATTTTGATTCGGTTGCCGATATGATGAATCAATGGCGGTCGTTTGCAACAGTCAAGTTACCTTTGGTAAATCCTGGTTCGCGTACAATATGTTCGATTAGTTATTCAAATCAACGATCAAATGTGCTGATTGCCACAACCGATGGCTATCTCTATGTTTATGACCTAAATCTAAATGATGGTGGCGATTGCACACTTATCCGTCAACATCGGTAATATAATTCTATTGTGTTGTCATGACTCTATTGATTTTCTAATTTTTTTCAAACACAGTCTGATTGATGATTTACCTGACGATAATGATGGTCAACGGTCAGCCTCGTTATCATCGACATCGACAACAACAGCCACCATGAGCACCACCAATACAACGAAGACAACAAGTTCAAGCCATCATTTGATACAATCTCCATCATCATCTTCCTCTTCGCCTCTTGATCGATGAATCAAATTGAATTTGACACATAAATTCAGCTAGGGACAAACGAAAGCTGATTACTATTATTTGTTTTTGTTTTCTGTATTTTTTCTTTACTTTAATTTTTTGGCTTAAAAACTGACCATTAAAAATGATATCAATTTTTTGTTTGGGTTTTGTATAATTCAATTGACAGTGTGGTTTATGTATAAAAATGTACGAAACAAGTTTTTTGTAGAGAAAACTTTTATTGAAATAAATATAAAGAATAATCAAATTTTCAAAGACCACGATATAATCGACGAAGACAACGGCGTTGATAATAACGAAGAAAACGACGTCGACTGCGATTATATCGACGACGTTCAAGGCGGCGACGACGATTATATTCTCGATAGTTTCGTCGAAGGCTACCACCAAGAAAATTGTCAACATGGTGATTCATTATCATTCGCATCACGTTATTCAAGGATGCGATTTCAGTTGCGGTCCTTGATGACCGCATTTGACTGGTTCGTCGCCGTACAGCATCCATAAATTGTCGTCTGCTGCTGAAAAATTGTGGTTCCCTCACTAATAAATACATTAGATATGTTAGATCTTGCAGGGAATCTTCAAATGTTGGATTAGGGTTTTCCATTTTTTTGAGAGAGATTTGTATAAGATTCAATGATAAAGTAATTGATTCGATAATTTTCTTGAAAAGTATAGTTGGAATTTTTTTCCAGATGAATAAGGAAAGTGTGACTAATATACATTTTGCATCAATTTTGTTGTCGTTTATAATTAATTTAAGAAACATTAAATTAATTTGAAACAAAACTAATTTGTAACCAATTTCATCAAACCAAAATTGAGGGTGATAATATCTTTCATTTTTGAAAAATTCCAATCAAAATGGTTTTATCTTGATCATGAGACCACCTCTTCAAGATTGTAGATGTGACATTCAATTGGTCTACAAGGTTAGCAATTGACTCCATAAAAACCATGGCCAACCATTCGATCGATATTTGGCACTGCTATTTAGTTGATGTTTGCATAGCTGAATAAATAAAAACGGAAATAGTTTTTTTAAATAAAAAATTTATTTGTAAGATATTATAAAATGACATCTTCAAGGCTGGCGAGCTAATCGATCGCGGTGACGACGCAAAATTGGAGTATATCGTTCAACTAACTCCAAAATGAAATCCATTAATTCACGGATTTCACTTTCTGTCATTGCACCACGCACATTATGGACTGCATTCAAGACTTGACTCATGAAATCTGCTTGTCCATCAAACGATTGCGGCTCCAAGATATATTCCCGAATGATACTTTGAATCAACAATAAAGTGATTCCAGTTAGTAAACGGTGAGATGGTCTGACCATTTTTGATTTGATTCAATATTTGTGATGTTGTTGAATAATAATTTTTATTCGAAAAGAAGTATAGATTGAATAATGATTGAGATAAAGGAAGAAAGTGTGAATTATATACATTTTTAAACATGATTGTTTGACTAAATAAAATATGTAAAACATTCATTCAAGTTTTTTGGTTAGCTTAGTGAAGAAAACATGATTGTTATGCTAATGTTTGTTGAACAAAAATGAAAAAGCAATTAATCAATTAAAATATGAATAAAACTTTAATGAATTTATTTAAAAGATTGAAAATTGTAATGAATCTATCAATTTGGACTGAATTGGCTTAATAACAATTGCAGGTAATCATAGAGAGCATCAGCCTCATCATATGTCATAATACCCGCGATAAACAATTCGAGAGTTTTTTCTTCCAATTCTGCAATAATTCTGCAAAAATCCTGATTTTGCACATATCGTTCAATGGCAAACAATACCTCGAATAATGCAATCATTTTGTATTGCGATTCGATTAAATCTTGTTGGGTATCGTTCAGGTTATTCATTTTGAAGTTAAAATGAAATTTGTTTTATAAAATATCTTTTATAATCGGAGGGTAGTTGTGAAATTAATTTAATAATGTAACCAAAGCTGCAATTATACACTATTTCAAACAATATTCTATTTTATCTACAATTAATTTTATAATTTTGAATCAAATCAAGCAGTCATAATTCCTATCATGCGGAACAAATCAAAACAATGTTAATCAAATTAAAAAGAATTTCACACTGAAACTAGCCTATTAAATTCACATTCTGTAGAAATTTACAATTGTTTTCGGTTAGTTGTGTTTATTCGCTGGTAATGGTCAAGCAAAACAAAACAACCAAGGTGATAATGATGTGGTGGCCATCGATTATTTGGATTTGGATGATGATCGCAATATGCATGTTATTATTGACCGACATTGCTGAATGTAATCCCACAATCATCCCAACCAGAGGTATGACAGCAGCAACACCCCAATCAGTGGTTAATGAAGGCAAGACAGAGCCGAAAGCAATCGAAAGAGCTATTGTGGGTGTGTCGGCTGCTGGCAGTGCTACTGGTTCTGCTTTGGCGGCACATTTTATGGATCCAAGCGATATTAGACATACAATCGTAGCCAGTGGTTTAATCTGTGCACTCTCTTTGGCTGGCTGGTGGATTAAACTTTGGTTGTGATCATCATCAAATCCGGGCTAATCAAATTTATTGAACGGTATACCGTATACTCATCAAATAACATTGAGTGTTTTCATTGTTCAAAACACGTGTGATCTTTGTCTCATTGCAGTACACAATACAATAATCAAATTATAAATTACTAAAGTAAAGATTTAATATGCAACATTTAATCAAAATAAAAACAAACAGAAAATACGAAATTGATAAGTTTTTAATGAGAAATTTGGTAGTGTTTTTTTTCAATACGACAAAATAAATCTACTTTTTTGAATTTCCAACATAGATATTGGAATGTTAGCCATAGCTGTCGTGCTAAGTAAAAAATAAATGCTCATCATCAATGAGTCATCAATGAGTGGATTTTTGCGTTTTACAATTGCTTCACATTAGATCAATAAATGTATGTGTAGATATTTTTGTAATGCGAGGCAGAGCGATTTCGATTTCGATTTTGTGTTGGAAGCGATTTTTCCTTTTCCTTTAACAGTGTGTTTTTGTTGTGTTGGATATTTCATCAGTTTTCTTTTTCAGTGATGATCGACAACCGATTCGATTCTTGTTTGAACGATTCGCGAGACGACTCGACAACAAAGTATAAATCCCGAATTCAAAGAACATCACGCAAGTTCTGCAATCAAAGTGGTCTTCCAACGAAAAAATAAAAAAAAATAAAAAACTGATTGATGTTGGATTAAAAGTCCATCCAAAGATCAAAACATTGATTTTGGAAAAAATGAATGGTGTTACAAAGGCAAGATCAAATTAAATTATGGACAAATTAACGTTGTTGATGTTTGCCCTGTGCTACAATCTTACAAGTGCCAGGGATATAAACACAAGGCCAACGATTGTAAGCAGGAATATTACACCTGTG